ATCTTGCGGACCACCAAGTGACCTTGCTGGACCAACTCTCGAACGAAGAAGTAGCGGAGTTCAATGTGCTTGGAGCGGCCATGGAAGACAGGGTCCTTTGTGAGATGGATGGTGCTGGCGTTGTCGCACCAGAGGGTGGGACAGCGCTGAGGAGCACCGATCTCAGCAAGGAGGAAGGTGAGCCAGCGAGCCTCCTGAGCGGCCATGGTGCAAGCATAGAGCTCAGCCTCGCAGGATGAGAGGGCGATGGAGGAGGAGCGAGTGGAGCGCCAGCTGATGAGGCCGCTGCCAAGGGTGAAGCCGTAGCCTTGAGAGGAGCGGCAATCCGGCTGGGAGTCAGCCCAGGAGGAGTCACTGAAGCCAGAGAGGAGGGGAGGAGAAGAGCCTCCGAGGGTGAGGACATAGTCCTTGGTACCACGGAGGTAGCGGAGGACCCGCTTCGCTGCAGCCCAGTGCTCATCAGTGTGGCGACCGGTACCGACGAATCGAGCAAGAACACTGATGGGGTAGGCAAGGTCGGGGCGGGTGCACATCATAGCGTACATCAGCGAGCCGACGAGCTCAGCATAAGGATGGTCAGAGGAGGAGGGAGCAGGAGGAGGGGCAAGCTGGTGCTCGGTCTGCCCGGGAGCGGTAACCGGCTTGGCCTGCGCCATGTCGAACCGCTGCAAGACTTGGTCGATGTAGAAGGACTGAGGGAGGGTAATGGTGCGCGATGTGCGGTCCCGGGTGATGGTCATGCCCAGATAGTGCTTGAGCTCACCCAGGTCCTTGCACTTGAGGCGCGCATGCAGGGCGTCCTTCACTTGCTGCATGGCGGCACCATCGTCAGCGAACAGGATCATGTCGTCGACATACACCAGGATGAAGAAGCGGGTGGGAGAGGAGCGAAGGAAAAGGCTGGCATCAGACTGAGAGGCATGGAACCCCAAGGACTGCAGAGTGGCGGCCAGCTTGTTGTGCCACTCGCGAGGAGCCTGCTTGAGGCCATAAACCGGGCGGCGCAGCTCCCAGACTGTGTTGGCAGGGAAGGCTGCATGAAAGCCTGGAGGCCGCCGCAAGAGGACCCGCTCCTGGAGCTCGCCTTGCAGGAAGGCGTTGGAGACATCCATGGAGGCAATCTCCATGCCAATGCGAACAGCATAGTCGAGGATGGCACGGAGAGTTGGGAGCTTGGCAGTGGGAGAGAATGTCTCCCAGTAGTCGATGCCATGGGTTTGGGTGAAGCCCTTGGCACAATACCGGGCCTTGTAGACCGGCTTCTCAACCGGCAGCTGCTTCTCTCGGAACACCCACAGGCCTTCAACAATGACGTCGTCAGGAGAGGGGACAATGTCAATGAATGAGGCATTGCGGATGAAGGCCTCGCATTCAGCAAACATAGCCTGGATCCACTTGGCAGCATCGGGGCAGGTGATGGCCTCAAGGAAGTTGGACGGGGTGAATCTGGTGGGAGCGGTAGCGATCCCAAGGATGAGGAGGCCAAGGAAGCCCGGGTAGAGAGGCGTGAGGGAAGGTGTTTGTTGCTGAACGCCAATGAGCTCCTCATGGGAGTCCTCGATGAAGGGAAGGGAGGGTGGGGGTGGTGTTGGCCAACCCCATGGATGGCCTATGAGTGGGCCGTGAGAGTGAGTGTGGATGCGTTGGAGGATGAACGGAGAGGTGGTGCGGCGATGCCGATAAGGTTGCTGCAGTGGCTGCTGCTGCTGCTGCTGCTGCTGCTGTGGCCGCTGCTGGTGCTGCTGCTGCACCTCCTGCTGCGGCTGCTGTTGCTGCACTGCCTGCGATTGCTGCAGCTGCTGCTGCTGCTGCTCCATCCGCTGCTGCTGCTGCACCTGCTGCTGCTGCTGTTGCTGCTGCTGCTGCTGCTGCACCTGCTGCTGCTGCTGCTGGTGCTGGTGCGATGAGGCAGAGTGAGCAGGGGAGTCAGGGACAGCTGGGTCGTAAATGTCACCTGAGGAAGGAGGAGGGGGAGGAGCAGGATTTGGAGGAAGGAGGGGAGCCTGGGGAAGGAGTGGGGGAATGACAGTATCAGCCCAGGTGAGGGGGCGGGAGAGAGGAGGAAGGGGGCCGGAAGGCGGAACAGAATGATAGAACGGGATGCTCTCATCGAACACCACGTCACGGCTCTGTAGGAGGCGGCCTGAGGACGGGTGAAGGAAGAGGTAACCAGGGACAGAGCGAGCGTGGCCAAGGTAGACACACTCAATGGCCTTGGAGGCAAGCTTTCCTCCCTGCCGAGAGCGGTCAGATGGGGGGATGAGGCCATATGCCTTGCAACCCCAGATACGGAGAATGGCAGCATCTGGCTTGGTGCTAGCCCAGAGCTCAGTGGGAGTGACAGACTGGCGTTGAGGATGTGGGTAAAGATTAGTAAGGAGAGCAGCATGGACAAGGGCATAGCCCCAAAGAGAAGGGGGCGTGGAGGCATGAGTGAGGAGGCAGCGGGCCGTCTTGGTGATCTCACGAATGCGACTCTCAGCAACACCGTTCTGCTGAGGGGAGTGGGGAAGGGTATGAGTCTGCTGGATGCCATGGGTTGAGCAGTAGGAGGAGAGGGTGCGGTTGAGAAACTCACCACCGCCGTCGGAATGGAGGCGGCGGATGGGGCGACCAAAGTGGACTCGGCACTGCTCGGCCCAGGTAACGATGACAGCAGGGGCCTCGGCCTTTACGAAGTGTGGAAAAGTTCATATGACGAAGGCGATGGTGGATGAGAACAGCGGGGTGGGACAGTGCGCGACAAGAGCATGGGGGGGAGGTGGAGTTGGAGGAAGGTGGCTCTAGAGGGAGGGGAGGGGGGAGAGTGGAGGTGCCTGCACGAGTGGTCACGTGGCATGAGGAGGGGCGCGGTGTGCTGAGGATGTACTGACGAGAGCGAGGACAAAGTGGGAGGCGATGAAGGAGGCGACGAGTGGGGCCGTGGAGGAGGTCATAGTAGCTGGCAGAGGCGGGGAAGAGGGTAGTGATGCCAGCCTGTTGTAGTTCACGGATGGAGAGCAGGTTATGACGAAGGGAGGGAATGTGGAGACCAGTGACCACTCCAGAGGGGAAGGGGGGGCAGGGGAGGGTGGAGAGATGAGTGCAAGGGATGGAGAAGCTGGAATCAGCGCCATCAACGTTGGTGGGGAAAGGGAGGGAGGTGAGGGTGCCGGCGTCTTTGAGGGCAGTTTCAGTGGCACCACTATCGAGAACAAAGTCTATCGTGGGCGAGGAGGGAGCTGAAGATATGGGGTACTGGAAATCACTGGCATTAAAAACAGAGGGATACATGGAAGTGGAAGCAGGGGAAGAACGCATGAGCTCGCCTAGAAAGCTGGAGTGGGAGGTGGGAGCACTAGGGGAAGGAGAGCCCCAAAGGGGAAAGCCAGGAGGACCTGTTGTGGCTGTGGCAGCCATGGCGGCGGTGCCAAAGCCAAGCTGCTGCTGCTGCCATGCAGATGCTGCGGCTGCGGCTCCTGCAGCTGCGGCTGCAGCCTGACCACCAGAGCCCCACTGCTGCTGCTGCTGCAGCAGCTGCAGCTGCTGGAAGCGGCAAAACTGCTGCAGCTCCTGTGGAGTTATGGGGTCAGCGACAGAGGAGGAGGAGGAGGAGAGCTGAAGATCAGAGGGGAGGAAAGACGGAAGATTTTTTACATCCTGGAGAGAGGGGCGGGGATCCATGGCAGACCAGCGTGGGGGTGTGCCAGTGTTGCCGCGCTCGAACCAGGCGTCATCATACGCTTTGAAGCAGGTCGTTGGGGGATGGTTGGTTTGGGTGCAGCGCTCACCCGCCCTGGGACCAAAACGGCGAAGATAGGAACATTGGGGGAGAGTGCCAGGGCGGCCACCACGGCTACCAGATGAGCCACCACTGCCACCACCACCACCACTGCTGCCACCCTCGACCCCGCAACCACCGCCGCCGGCTCCGTTGCCCCCACAACCGCCACCTCCACCCCCTCCCTGAGGGTTGGTGCGGCCGCCACGTGGGCGCCCTCCACGACGCGGCTGTGCAACAGCAAGCTGGGGGTTTGGGGACTCGGTGGAGTTCAAGCCGGAGGGGGGGGTTGAGAGAAGGCGGGCCTCAGCGTCAATGATCCACTGGACCACAGTGTCAAGGGAGGCGCGGGGCTGAGCCTCAGTGAAGGCGATGACGCGCACTTCATATTGAGGGGAGAGGCCTTCGAGGAGACGGTAGATCTGAAGGTTGGGGGGGAGAGTAGTCTGGGGAGCCTCAAGGCGGGAGGCAAGGTCCAGGAGACGGCTGGTGTAGTCAACGGTGCCAGCACTATGTTCGTTCGTGATGCTAAAGTATTCCTTGAAGAGCGGTCCGACAGCGTCGAAGTCGGTGCGTTCGAACATTGCCTCAAGCTCGAGCCAGATCTGGCGGGAGCCGATGCGACGTGCCTGGAAGTTGCGCATGAGCGCAGACGGGATGGCAAGGAGAAGGGCACCAGTAGCACGGCTGTCCGCCTCGAGCCAGGCGCGACGACGCTCGGCAAATCGCGCAGAGTCAGCGGCATAAGCGGCGGCGGTAGCGGCATGCTGGGTGCGGAGGGTTGCCGACCGCTCGTGTTCCTCCAACGCGATCAGGTAATCAGTATGGAGCACGAAGAACTCACGACGCTGAGTAACGAAGAGCTGCTCAACTTCAGCGGTGGCAGCGCGAGTGCTGGTGCCAACGGGTACCATGGGGGGCGGAGGTTCATCGCCGGGATGGGGAATGAGAGGGGGGGGATCGCCAGGGTGAGGCGGCGGGTCCCCAAGGTCACCCTCTGGGAGACCAAGCATGATGTCCAGGAGGCGGAACGGCAGGACATAAGCACTGCCGAGGACGCGGTGGAGGCTGCCGACGAAGGAATACCAGTTGGTTGCTGAGTTGTCGGCAGCGCGCACGACATGATCGAGGGTCGAGACGTCAACGGGAAGGGGAAAGGATGCCATTGGTGACACGGAGTGGGAGGAAGGCGACGGCGGGTGGACCCGCGGTGGCTGGGAGGGAGCGGCGGCGGGTGGACCCGCGGCGGCTCAAAGAGGAGGGGAGGATGGGGATGGCTGTAGATACTGCTGCTGCTGCTGCTGCTGCTGCTGCTGCTGCTGCTGCTGATGCTGCTGCTGCTGCTGCTGCTGCTGCTGCTGCTGCTGCTGCTGCTCCTTCTGCTTCTGTTGCTGCTGCTGTTGCTGTTGCTGCTGCTGCCGCTGCTGCTGCTGCCACTGCTGCTGCTGCCGCTGTCGCTGCTGCTGCTGCTGCTGCTCCTTCAGCTGCTGCTGCTGCGGCTGCTGCTGCTGCTGCTGCTGAGTCTGCTGCTCCTTCTGGTGCTGCTGCTGCTTCTGCTGCTGCTGCTACGGCTGCAGCAGTGGTAAGGCGGCGATGAGCAGGTGCAGGTGAGGAGGCAAAAGATGGGGAAAGATGGCAGTTAGCTGCTGAAAATAGGACTTGGTAGAAATTTCAGTAGCACTTCGTGATCACATCCAGGAAAGTCTGCAAACTTCGGAAAGCGATATCTGACAATCCAAGCGATGCTGTTTACCTCTCTAATGTCGCTGGTTACCTCTCTTATGTCGCTGTTTACCTCTCTCATGTCGCTGGTTACCGCTCTCATGTCGCTGTTTACATCTCTCATGTTGCTGGTTAGCTCTCTCATCTTGCTGGTTACCTCTATCATGTCTCTGTTTACCTCTCTCATGTCGATGTTTACCCCTCTCATCTCACTGGTAACCTCTCTCATATTGCTGGTTTCCTCTTTCATATCGCTGGTTACCTCTCTCACGTCGCTGTTTACCTCTCTCATGTGCCTGTTTACCTCTCTCATATCGCTGTACCTCTCTCATGTCACTGGTTACATCTCTCATGTTGCTAGTTACCTCTCTCATGTCGATGTTTACTTCACTCTTATCGCTGTTTCCCTCTCTCATGTCGCTGGTTACCTATCTCTTGTTCCTGTTTACCTGTCTCATATCGTTGTTTGCCTCTCTCATTTCGCTGGTTAGCTCTCTTATTTTGCTTGTTACGTCTCTCATGTCACTGGTTATGTCTCTCATGCCACTGGTTGCCTCTCTCATGTCGCTGTTTACTTCTCTCATATCGCTGTTTACCTATCTCATTTCGTCTTTTACCTCTCTCATGTCACTGTTTACCTCTTTTATTTTACTGTTTACCTCTCTCATATCACTGGTTACCTCTCTCATGTTACAGGTTACGTCTCTCATGTCGCTGGTTACCTCTCTCAAGTCGCTGGTTACCTCTTTAATGTCCCTGGTTACGTCTCTCATGTCGCTGTTTACCTCTCTCATGTCACTAGTTACCTCTCTCATGTCGCTGGTTTCCTCTCTTCTGCCGCTTGTCACCACTCGCTGCTTACCTATCTCATGTCGCAATTTTCCTCTCTCACGTCGCTGGTTACCTCTCTCATCTCGCTAAATACCTCTCTCATGTCGCTATTTACCTCTCACATGTTGTGGGTTGCCACTCTCATGTCTCTGTTTACCTCTCTCCTGTTGCTGTTTCTCTCTCTCATGTCGATGGTTACCTCTCTCATGTCACTGGTTACGTCTCTCATGTCACTGGTTACCACTCTCATGTCGCTGTTTACCTCTCTCATGTCGCTGGTTACCTCTCTCATGTCGCTGGTTACCTCTCTCATATCGCTGTTTATGTCTTTCATGTTGCTGTTTACCTCTCTCATAACGCTGTTTACCTCTTTCTATCGCTGGTTACCTCTCTCATGTTGCTCGTTACCTTTCTCATTTCGCTGCTATCTCTCTCATGTCGCTTGTTACCTCTCTCATATCGCTGGTTACCTTTCTCATGTTGCTGTTTACCTCTCTCATGTCGTTGTTTACCTCTCTCATGTCGCTGGTTACCACTCTCATGTCGATGGTTACCTCTCTCATGTCACTGGTTACGCATGTCGCTGGTTACCTCTCTCATGTCACTGGTTACCTGTCTCATGTCGCTGTTTACCTCTTTCATGTCGCTGGTTACCTGTCTCATGTTGCAGTTTACCTGTCCCATGTCGTTGGTTACCTCTTTCATGTCACTGGTTACCTCTCTCATGTCACTGGTTACCTCTCTCATGTCTCTCATATCGCTGATTTCCTCATATGTCGCTGTTTACTTCTCTCATATCGCTGGTTACCTCTCTCATGTCGCTGCTTACCACTCTGATAACGCTGTTTACCTCTTCCTATCGCTGGTTACCTCTCTCATGTCGCTCGTTACCTTTCTCATTTTGCTGTTACCTCTTTCATGTCGCTCGTTACCTCTCTCATTTCGCTGGTTACCTTTCTCTTGTCGCTGTTTACCTCTCTCATGTCGTTGTTTACCTCTCTCATCTCGCTGGTTACCTCTCTCATGTCGATGGTGACCTCTCTCATGTCACTTGTTGTTGGTTAGAGAAGGCTATAAGCAGATGATTCAATGGCTCCTTGGAAATTTCTGCAGCACTTCGTTATGACGCCCAGAAAACTCGCGACCTTCGAATAGCTATATCAAAAACTCCAATCGGTGAAACGATCTGAAAATCGGATATGTTGTAGCTGGCAGTGTCAGCTTTCCACTGAAAGTTGAATCACTCGATTCCGTAGCTAAACGAGTGAGCTATGGCGTTTGGCGCACTGGGGGGTAATCTGCCCTAGGAGAAGTTGACAGTCCTCAGAGTCACTATGATTGAAGCTTACAAGATCAGAGGCATGATAGAAAAGGCATTGAAGCACAGTTGGAAGGTGGGGTAGGAAGTGAAGGATGAAAGGGAAGGACCCTGGAGGCCCATGGTCAAGAACATGACAAGAGTCAAAGTTTTGACTCCCCATCCTCAGGTTCAGCCAGCCTGGCAAGACAAATTTCACACTGTGCCAGGTTGGCCTCCAAACCCCAAATGCTGCAGCTGCAAGGTGGGGACAAAAGTCCCACACATGCTGGTCCCTCCTCGTTATAGGGCTCTCCAACTTTGGTGTAGCAGCTGACAAGGACTTCCAATGAGTTGTAACAAATCCATCAAACATTTCTTCGTAACTTCTTCATATGTGCTCCGATTCCAACAATTCTTGGCTCGTTGGAATGTGCTCGATGTCATGCACAATCCAAGCACATCTGCACAAGCACAAGATGAACATGCAAAGACATGCAAACCCAACAAACCATACAAACAACGTAGCACACAAAACACATGCAAACGAAATGATGCGAACAGACGACAGGATGACGTGCAAATGAATATGCACCAACACACTCCCCCTCAGACTGTCGGCTTGTTTCGCCGTCTCTAGTTCAAGGACATTCCCGCCATCCTCGCACAGCGCCAGTGTGGCTCTTCAGCTAGCCGCTTGGTAAGGAAGTCGGCTGGCTGTTGCTGAGTTTTCACGTAGATCGGATCCAGTGTCCCAAGCTTCACCTCCTTCCGCAGCCAATGCCACATGATCCTCATGTGCTTGTTCAACCCATGAAGAACTGCATTGCGTGCCATGGCAATGGCTCCCTTGCTATCACTGAACAGAGGTGTCGCACAAGTCTGTTCATGGCCGATCTCCTTCAAGAGCCTCCTTAGCCAGATGATTTCTTTTGCCGCATGAAACATCGCCATGTACTCAGATTCCACTGAAGATAGTGCCGTCTCAGACTGCTTCTTGGACCTCCAACTTACAGGCCCACCTCCCACCATGCAGATGTATCCACCAACTGATGATGAATCCTCATGCTCAGAAGCCCACGTGGCATCAGCAAAACAGGAAAGGAACACCTTTCCTTCTCCGAGCTGCTCCCCCTTCTCTTTGAGGACTTCAATTCTTTTTTGACTGAGTTGAGCAGAGGCTGAATACTGTACTCCCACTGTAGGGTATGACTTGAGGTAGCGCACCACTCTCTTCGCTGCACCACACTGCTCTTCTGTTGGATTTTGCACTACTCGAGCCAGCTGTCCCACAGCAAAGCTGATGTCAGGCCGAGTATGCACAGCAGCGTAGAGTAGGTTCCCGACCATGGATTGGAATTGCCTCTGGTCTTCACTCTCAACTCCTTCTCCTTCAGCTGCCTTTATGAGTTTGAACTCGGAAGGCAAAGGTGTGACCACTTCCCGTTCTTCCTGCAGAGAGTACTTCTCAGCCAAGGTGTTGATGTACTGTCCCTGATGCAGTTTGAGCCAGCCACGTTCAGTATCCCGCTCAATATGCATTCCCAGGTAGTACCTTGCCTCTCTAAGTGACTTGCACTTGAACTGCTCTGTGAGCTTCCGCTGCACCCCATCGATCTCCTTGTCACTGCTGCTGAAGAGCAGGATGTCATCCACGTACACCAGCAGAAGCACAAGTGACTCCCCCTCTCCCATCAGGAACAGGCTCTCGTCGCATGCACTCGCACGGAATCCAATCCCTTCCAGTGCACTGGCCAGCCTGTTGTACCAGCATCTCGGGGCCTGCTTCAAGCCATAGATGGCCTTGTTAAGTTTGCAGACACGACCGGTTCCATCCTCATAGCCAGGTGGTTGAACCATGTACACCTCCTCTTCCACAATGCCGTACAGAAAAGCGGTTACGATGTCCATCTGCTTCACCTTCCATTTGCGCACAGCAGCTACCGCCAGCAGCACACGTAGCGTTGGAGACTTAGCAGTTGGGGCAAACACTTCTTTGTAATCTTCCTTCTCTTTCTGCTGAAACCCCTTTGCCACCAGCCTGCTCTTGTAAACTGATGGCTCTCCTTTCTCATCCGTCTTGATTTTTGCCAGCCACTTGCACTGTATTGCCTTCTTCCCATTTGGCAAGTACACCAGGTCCCATGTGTGATTCTCCATCTTGCTGTTGTACTCTGCATCTCTTGAAACGAGCCACTTCCCCCGTTGAGGCCCGGCTAGCGCATGATCCATGCTCGGAGGTTGTATTGGTGCGTAAAAGCAGTATGCAGGCTCCTTGTCATCTGACTCTTGGTCATCACCCAAGAACAGCACTGCATCTTCGCCTTGAGCCTGTTCCTGCTGCTCAGTTGTGGCTCCTCCACTTGTGGAGCTCAACAGCTTTCTCATTGCCATTCTGGTACGTGCAGGGTAGATGGTTGGATTTACCCATTCTTTCACCTTCACCCAATCCTTTGTCCCCCCACCAATCTGTTTCCTTCGCTTTGGCAGACTTGGTGTTTTGGAAGCCTCTTGCTGCTGCTGCTCCGGATCCTTGACTTCAGCATCAGCTGCAATATCCTCATTGCTTCCTTCATCAGTACCGCTTGCCGTTGGCGCAGTGACTTCGCTGTCCTCAGGTTCGGACAGATCGAAGTGCATAGTGATCTCTTCCAGCTGCTGGGTGACCCTTGCCTCCGGCTGCTTCTCCCACTTGCCATACATGATGTTCTCCACAAATTTGACATCCCGACTATCAAACAGCACATTCTTTGAGGGCTCCCAGAGTAGCCACCCCTTGCTCTCTGCCGCAAGCCCAAGGTGCACACACCAAAGTGCAGATGCTCCAAGCTTTGTCCTGTACGGTTTAGGGACATGCGCCACTGCCATGCATCCGAACACTCGAAGCATGTCCACTGGAGGCTTCTTTCCAAGCCACCTCTCCAGCGGCACCCACATATCATCAGCCACCTTTGTGAGTACGCGGTTCCTTGCCACTGTAGCATGCCTCACCGCATGAGGCCACATGGAGTTCCCCAGCCCTGATTCGATCAGCAGCGCTCGCGCAGTTTCCAGGATGGTCCTATTAGCCCTCTCAGCAACGCCATTTGACTGAGGGGTATAGGACGTCGTTAGCTGATGCTCAATGCCTTGTTTCTTGAGCCACGCAGTCAGATCTCCTCCTAGAAACTCTCCACCTCGGTCGGTTCTGATGCTCTTGCATGGGTGCCCAGATTGT